GACAAGTTTTGCTGCTGGGAGTCCATGGCCATAACCCCCCTCCCCCCATAGCAGCTCTCTGCCCCACAGGAACAGGGGAGCTACGTGAGTGCAAATCCACCACCATCCATGGCCTTGCTCTGGATTGTCACCAGCGTAACCAAGCGCCGACCCAGCCCTGGCGCTGAGAAAGCCCCGGTAGGGAAGCCGGGCAAAGCTGGGCCTTTGGGGATTCGTGGCTCGGCGCGGGGCAGAGACGAGCACACGGACACGCCGGGAAGGCAGCGTCAGGCAGTATATTCTAGGCCCCAGCGCCTAGCGGGTGGATACCGAGGCTAATATTCGCTTTACATGTGCTTACATTTACACAGTGCATGAAGGTAGCGCCAGGGCTACTGTACAGGCTTCACAGACACACGACGGACAGAGTAAAAAAGTCAGCGTGGGGGAGGCGCCCGCCCGGCAACCAGAGACACACGGAGAAGCCGGGGGCCCAGCCGGCACCAGGGCGTTCCCCTTTCCTTATTTACACCATCTGGGCCCCTCGCTGCCGCCCGGGGCGAACGAGCCCGAAACCCATCCTGCCCCGTTTATCGGCACTAACAACCGGGGGTGGGGCTGGCGGGATTTAGTACATCTCAAAGCCGGCAGCGTCTGCGCCCAGGGGCCGCGGCTCGGGCCCGGCTCCGCGGGGTTAAAACGGAGCCGAAAGGAACAGGCCAACGCCGGGTTTTTACACAGCGTTTCTCCCAGCGCAGCAGGGCCGTGCGCTCGGCCTCGGGCGTTGCCTTTCGCTGGAGCCGGCCTGGGCCTCTCACGCTTTGTTAATTCCTGCCCCGGGCCAGGGGAAGGGCAGAGGCCGGACCCCAGCCCAAGGACTCCAGTGGGCGTTAGAGACGGCCCTGGGAGAGCAACCAGCAGCTGGCCTGGGCTCCGGTTCCTCCTCTGCTTGGCCCGGCCAGGCCTGGCCGAACTCCACCCCGAACTACCCCGCCCAGCGCAGAGGCCTGGGGACTCCAGCGTCCGGTGCCGGCTGCCGTGGGGATCGGTGGGTGGGCAGCTCCACAGCTGGCTGGGAACGTCCCGCTGCTGAGCGTCCAGCCCAGGAGCCGAGCTGGGAAGGGAGGGGGAGGGCGAGGGGCTGGGGCCTGCGCTGCGGGTCTAGGCCCGGGCTCTGAACGCTGCGGGCTCTGGGCTGTGCTGGGGTCTGGCGCCGTGAGCCTGTCCCCCGTGGCCCCTGGCGTCCCGGCTCCTGCCCCCCGCTCAGGTGACCCTTCCCGAGATGCGTGGCCAGGCAGGAGGGAAACAAAGTGGGCGAGCCGGGAGCGTCTCCCCCCCAGATTTGCCCAGCACGTAGGGGACAGGGCACGGCCGGGGGGGTTGGAAAAGGCACGAATTGCCCTGAGCCTCTGCCCCCAAACTCCAGCCCGGCCCCTGAGCTGGGCTTTGGGGTTTTGACATTAAAATAACAAAGTTTGGTTAATGTGGGAATGGTCAGTTCCCACCCCCAGGTCTCTGGGCTTCCCCGGACCCTGGGCGGCTAGTTTGGACGCTGTGGGGCGCAGGACACGTCGGCAGCGCCTGCAGGGAGCTGTCACCCCAGCTGGTGGTGCCAGCGCTCCAGGGACCCGAATCCGGCCCAGCCTCGGTCCCCTGCCAGCCCCCTTTCCAGACGGGGCCGAAAAGGGGCAGCAGGTCGCCAAGGCTGCAGAGGGAGTCGGGCGGAGCCGGGATCAGAACCCGAGAGTCCTGGCCCCAGAACCTGTGCTCAGGCTTCTGCCCTCTCTGAGCTCCCGTCTCAAGCCCCAGAGCAGAGCCATGGGGCAGAGCTCCCCAGCAGGGGCCCTTCCCCCCATGGCAGAGCCCCTCATCTCGCCTAGCGCCGCTGGGGGGGTGTTACCAGGAGCTCTCCACCTGGGGCAGCCTGGGGGAGCCCCCCGAAGGAAGGAGGGCAAGGTGCAGTCAGAGTGAGAGACCCCCTGCCCCCAACCAGCCCCCACCCCTTTGCACTACCCC